AAAACTGGAAGTGAACAATTATCACTTACATTTAAATAACCAATTACATGAAGTAAGATTAATAATATTCTATATTTATATTGCAAGTATTAATTTTTAACAAATAATTAAAAAAAGGATATGAAGAATTAAAAGCATACAGTCATTTATTGAATAAAGTTCAAGAAAAGTTATCAAATATCAACTAATGTAATTAAAGAAACAAAGGTTTATTCACCTGAAAAAAGTGAGACTGATCTGAAAAACTTCATTAAAAAAAAATAAATATACTATATATGATTACAATTAATATTCTTAAGAGATATTTTTTGGCAAAATATTTTATACTGAATAATTAAAATATTAATTATAATTATTTATAGTTAAAATATTTGTTGAAATATTTAGATGAATATCCAAAATCAATTTAAGCATTCCAGCTAATTAGTAAATCATATTATACTAATTCATATTTTCATGATGTGACACTACCAGAAGGATTGCTGAATTGAATATATAGTTTAAAAAATATTTCAAAATGTGAACAAGAAAAAGAGATAGGAAAGGATAAAGAAGTGACAGTTAAATTCAAAAAATGAAAAATGATTAAATATAAAGAATTATTAATTTATTTAGAGGGTAAGGAACAAACTGGAGAAAGTATATAAATAGATGAAATTCAAAAGTAGATAGGTTAGAAAAAAAAAGCAAAAAATCCTAAAAAATATTCAGCAAGGTAAAATCAATTGAGACTAGTTTTAAAAGAGTCAAGTCAAAATCTTTAAAGAAAAAGAAAAGCAAATTAATAAGAAAGAAGAAAAGGAAGAGAAAAGTAACAAATAATTTAGTTAATTGATTTTGTAATTTTTTAATAAATTTTTTTAAATTTGTTAAACTTTCTGAATATTTATCAAATTTCAATACTGGATTTGTAACTTTTGCCAAATTTTTTGCCAGAGTATTATTTTTTTGTCAAATTTTTTGCTGCAGTATCAATTTTTTTGTCAAATTTTTTGTTACAGTATCAATTTTTTTGCTAAATTTTTATTTGCAATATGCAAAATTTTTTTTTACCACAATATTACTAAATTTTGTGTTGAATTTTTTTTTATTATATGCTAATATTTTTTTGCCAATTTTTTGTTGATATTTTTAATACTTGTGATAGCAATTGTAAATAATTCACCAATTTTTTTATTATTAATTTTTGTCAAATTCAACAATAATTCAGCAATTAAATAACACAATTTTGACTAGTATTAGAGAATATTCCAATCAGGCAAACCTTTTTCAAGAGAAAACTATAAAATAGAGCAAGAACCTTTTGAAGAGCTTTGAATTATATTTCCTTTTTCTTTTTCCTCAATGTCAACTTTAGCAATTTATTGTTTTTTGAGATAATCGACAGTGACAAACTGTTGACAATGACCTTGATTAACTGAGAGGTACTATGTCAAGCTAATAGAAGAGTGTAATATTATCTCCTAAATCTGATTTAGAGTACCTAGTTTAGACTTAGTTTTGTTTAGTTCAAACTAGTTTAGTGAACTTCTTATATTTATTAAGTAATATAGTTCTTTAACTAATAATATATAATTATGAGTTAGTTGCTTTATAAAAAAGTCTACAAAATATTTTGATATCTCTCAATATCTCAATAAAGATATGTCAAAGTAACATGATTGTGAATTTAAAAAAAAAAAATAATAATAATAATCTATAAGTATTAAACTTTATGGTTAAAAAATAATTTAAATTATGAAATAAATAAAATATTATTTTTATATTATATCTAAAAAAATAAAAATTTAATAACAGGTAAGCTAATATATAAAAATTATTTAATTTATAATTATTTTTATTAATTTACAATAAAGTTAAGTTATATTAGTTTAATAATAAAATAAATAAAATAAATAAATAAAATATATTTATATATTATTAAAAAAACTCTTTCCGTTAATCTTCTAACTACACACAAAAAAGATGTTCACAAGAAGTTTTATACTTCCTTGCTAATAAAGTTTTACCATTTTCCTTAAAACAACTTGAAGTATAATTTCAAGAGTCACTTTTACCCTTCTCCTATTGTCTATAAACCTCTTTACTCAAAAACTTAACTTCTAGTGATCAAGAAAAGTCAAGCAACACCTTTGATACTAATGGTAAGAAAGTGTTCAAAAGAATAAAAACTGACTGTAAAGTACTTAAAGGTCTTTCTAACCTTTGAAGCAAGAGGTTTATAAAGATTTTTTATAATAAAAAGGCTTACTTCCTTCCTTTTTAATTATTTTGATCCTTTTAGAGCTTCTATTTTGATGGCTTTCTGAGGAATTTTGCCTACCTCAGTTTGATCCTGAATTTTGGATAGCACAAATCATCACCAAAGATAATTGGCTGATATGAAACATGTCAGTTTTTAAAATATAAACAAGTTTTTATTGATCATATCTATATGCCTCGATTAATGATAGATCTCTAAAATATTTAATATATAAAATTTCACAAATCATTTATGTTCTTTTTTGAGGAACAAAATTTATAGCTCTTCACTTTAATAGGAACAAAAGTCAGAAAATATTATAAATTAATGATTTGAATAATAGAGAACAATTGTAAGTAGTTTTTAAATAATTATTAATTAAAAATTTTAATATTTCCTAGTAAGGAACATTTGAATTTATCTCTATCATCTCCCCCTTTAGAGACCCATCTTTAGCCTCAATATATTATTGATGATATAGGAAAGAAATTTCTAAAAAAAGTGTCCTCTTCAATCATATATGTTCAACCTTCAAGAAACAATTATGATATTAAAAGATGAGTGATGTGTAGGAAAAAAAAATTTAACTTATATTTCTCATTAAGTTTTTTAGATAGTTAAAAGATTTTCTTGAACAAAAGCAGAGATCTCCAAGCTTCTATCCCAGTTAGGCAAAGTTTTTGAAAAGATTTCTTTATCCCAGTCAGACAAACTCTTTTGTAATATGATGCTAGTTCCAGTAGTGACAAGTGAATCTGTATATTAGTAGAAAAATAATTTCCTCAAATATTTTTCTTAAAATTACTTTCAGGAATGATCAAGTTCCTCAAATGTCATAAAGCTTAAAGAATATCTCAATCAGGCAAACCTCCTTTAAGAGGAAACTGTGAAATGGAGCAAGAATCTTTTGGAGAGCTTTGAATTACAGTATATCTCCTTTTTCTCTTTTTTCTAATGTTAACTTTAGCAATTCATTATTTTTTGGAATAATCAACAGTGACAAACTGTTGGCAATGATCCTGGTTGACTTAGAGACTTTATATCAAGCTACTAGAAGAGTATAATATTGTTCTCTAAATTTGACTTAGAGTACCTAGTTTAGACTTAATTTTGTTTAGTCCAAACTAGTTTAGTAGACTTTTCATATTTTTTAAGTAATATAATCCTTTAACTAATAATGTACAATGATGAGTTAGTCACTAAGTGAAAAAGTCTATAAAATATTTTGATATTTCTCAATATCTCAATAAAAACATGCCAAAGTAATATGATTATGGGTTAAAAAAAAAAAATAATCTATAAGTATTAAACTTTATGATTAAAAAATAATCTAAATTATGAAATGAACAAAATATTATTTTCTAAATTATATCTAAAAAAAAAAAAAAAATTTCAATGACAGGTGAGCTAATATATAAAAGTCATTTAATTTATAATTATTTTTATTAATTTACAATAAAGTTAAGTCATATTAGCCTGATAATAAAATAAAAAAATAAAATAAAATATATTTATATATTGTTAATTTATTTAATTTATCTCTTAAAAATCAAGATAAGAATATAGAATATTCCATAGTACTTGTGCTAAATTTACTAATAACAAAATCATCTATCAATATTCTAGTTTCAAATGATCAGAAGGATCATGACGTGTTGATCTAGGATACAGGGGTTATCCTGGATTCTAGGAAAATCATGGCGAAATTTTAGAGTCTAATAATATACTGTATCTATTGATAAAATTTTTAAAAAAAAAAAAAAATAGTAGAATTTGTAATGTTGATAATATATCTAATTTAATACAATAACCAATTCAATTGCTGTAAGTATTTAAAAAACTATTGTAAATAGCCGGTTATTTCTTTAATGTACTGCATTACCAAAAACTATTTAATTTCGAATTTTCGTTGTAATACCGTGTAAAGTATTGGTTTTATGAAAACCGAGAAAAATTAAAAAGTAAACTTTCTAAGAGAAATTAAACAAGAGCTCACTCGTAGAAATCAAGAAAGATATAGCAGACTTGAATGAACGCGGTGCGGTGATAAGGTAAACAAAATGAGTTTTAAACGTAAATTCTTCTACACTTGATCAACTTGAGGAGCTTGCAGCATTCGGGTGGCAAAAAAGAAATCGTTTTGAAACAGGTGATGATTTTCTTTGGTAGATCTAACACTAATGTTAATAAAGAAATTTAATGAGGTCATAAAAGGAGCTGCTGTTATTTTTACGACATTAGTATTGTGAACTAGCGAAAATGAAAAAAGAAATAAGGGCGGAAGGTGATCCGAAATTGTATGTTTAAGACCGACAGTTATTTTTGAAACCGATCAAATATTGTATGAACGAGAAAAAAGGGTGGCACATTTTAAATACAGTATGTGAGGTTCTGAGTGAATTGGAGCAATACAAAAGTATGTTTCTCTTATTGTTTACTAAAATATCTATCGAAGATGTACAATATTCTATTGTCGGCTATTATATATTTGGGGCAAATTTAAATTGACCGCAAGTTGGAAAGTCTCGTGTTACAAATCGATATTTACCGTTACGTGACCAAATTCCTTTCAAACAGGAAAAAAAAAAAAAAAAAAAAATCGAGAGAACCCTAAAATATTTCGATGGACTAGAATTCGCAAAGTATGAAGCTTCCTTTTTCAAAGTTGATCAAGTTCAGTTAACGAAAAACCCATTTCTTCACGATGACAAATTCTAATTTGATCGTTTCGCTGTCGGCGTGGATGTTAATTTTTCTTATGGTGATACCAAATGTATCGGGATATCAAGTTTTTGTGCACAATGAAACGCAACCATTTCCGACAGCTCCCCGTATATGGCAACTTATATCCTATGATGATGGGACGACAGTCGCTCGCGTAATTCACAAAGATCCCAATGTCAATAGTACCAACACCACCACATTCATAGACCAGAGGTTATCCTTACGCATCATTTATCCCAATGGAACTGTATCGGAAATAGACAAAGATCCGAACATCCCATCATTTAACTATGCAATCACTTTAGCTACCCCGGATGTTTTTGATCCGATAAATATACGAGTTCTACAAGTTGGCTACGTTCTTGTTACTTACTTCGACGCTTCTGATGCAAAGAATTATTCTACTTATGAAGAATGGGGTTTGATCATGGGTTGGGATGGAACCATCCATAGGTTGGTATTCTTCATCACGACCTTTGTAACAGTGGATCAATGTATTGACGTCCTATTATTATTATTATTGTTGTTATTATTATTTTTGTATATAAAGTCGCAAGAGATTCGGCTTCGCCTACACAAATTCTGGTCTCTGGAATCCAGATGTGACGTCAGTAGTGACCAACATTGATCCGAAGAAAGGTTTTCTCAGGATATCAGGTATCAGAGAAACCAATAATGTTGAATGGCAACAATACTTCATGTAAGTTTGATCTCAAGTTTGTTATGTAACTTGTGTTTGACCTACGTGGGTGTGTGCATCTAAATCTTCTTTAGGGATAGCAACTTTCAACTCGACATGATGTCATCAGGAGTTATTGCAAACTCGCTCCTCGCTTTCGGAAGCAGTCAGGTCGATGCGATTGCTACTATTGATGAAGGTTACGCCATAATCATTGCCAACTCCACATCCGTCCTGACCAGACCTGTTAATCCCTTGTCTGTTCGATCAGGAGTGTATGCCTTTACCAAAGCATTCGACGATCAACAATTTGGCTCTACCTTATTACTATACCAGTCTCCTGTAGAAGGTTTAAATTTCACCTCACTAAAATGCGATGTCTCCTGGGTTGGCATCGGAGAACTTTGTTCAATTACCCTCCAACAAACAGATTCTTTATCACTGCTTAATAATTATACCACCTTTTATATAAAACTCACTTTTCTGTCGTCCGGATCTGTCACCGGCTTCACTCCAATCTCCCGACAATTACCTCATTCTACCAACATCACAGTACTCGAGTGGCAAGTGAGAACGCTGCCCTATGGAGGTTACCTGCTATATTCATACACTCAACTGCCGTCAGAGCTGAAAATTTACGGTTATGTTTATGATGATGTCTCTGTCAACCCCACAAATTGGGAACTGTCGGAACCTATGCTCACGAATTTACGTGGGACCTTCACAGTGTTGCCAAACAATACCATGTTACTTTCCCAACCCGAGTCGATTAATTCCTGGTCTTTGATCAACACCGATCTTCCCAAGTTCGCAGCGTCTAGGGATCATGGGTATTTCAATGTTCAAGTGAATTCCACGAATCCCGCAATCTCTTCAACGATTTCAACTTCGACAAATAATATCACCATTTCGTTCTTTGATCCTGTGATTCTTTCCGTCGGAAATATTTCAATTTATCAAGTAGATGCCAATCGTAATACCGATAATCTTCGGCAAATTGTTTCTGGAACCCTGAGCTCTGACTTTTGTTCTATTTCCGGTGACGGATTAACAGTGACCGTCAAAACTATCGACAGTACCTTCAGCAGACCCGGTGTTCAATATTTCGTTCAAGTAGACAACAATTTTGTGCAAGACAAAGCTTATAAGGAGCCCCTGATGGGCATTCGTGCGAACGTTTGGAATTTTAACACGGGTAATTAATTATATGTTGAAATTCGCTTGCGTGCCGTCTTCAACCGACGTATATCTAATTTAACTTATCACCTGTCCTATGCCACGAACTTTCAGCACCTGATAAAAACCCGTTCTCAAGTAAATTCATGAGATATGCGTTTTACCATGAATAGTTCCCGGATAACCATTTCTCCCATCTTACACCAGGGTCCGTAACCGGATTATTACGTCTGACTCTTGAAGGCACGGCATACTTCGATGGCCTCGACGACAATGGTAAAAGTCGATTCTTTTCGAATCTCCTAACAGAATTGTCCAACATTCTTCCCGTCTCTCTCGATCGCCTAAGCTCAAATGAGAAAACCCAGGTCGATTCTTCAATTAGCCCAGGCACACAGATACTCATCTCCCTCAACATCGAATCAACCAGAGACGAAAGGGAAAGAAACGTGCCAGCCATTGTGAAGGATTTAAATACAATGGTTGTAAACAAAGCCGTCACCCCAATTGGATTGAATCCGACCACCCGATATTTGGACGATACCTACGGATTCTCGCCAACGGGTGAGCATATTTAGAATTCTCAAGTAATCGAGGTCAACCCTAATTCCTTTTAGAAACTTGTTTCCATAAAATTTCTCCGTGAAATAATTGTAGTAAACTTATGGGAAAAATACAGAATGCAATTGTTAATAATTTTTTTGACAATTGTTCTTCTCGTCGTTCTCTTTGTCTTGGCACAAAGAAGGGAGAGAAAGGTAGGAATGCCATAAATTTTCAACTCGTCCTCGCTACTACCCCCTTTACTAAACTAATTCTCATTGAAAGGGTCGTAACATTGCCATCTTACAACTTGGGGTTATCCTCTTCGATTTGTTTATGGATATCCTTTTCGTCAGTAACAATGGGGAGGATGTGAAGTCACTTTATGTCCCAAGGTAAATTATCCCTGTGAAATTTATTGAGCAAATAAGAAATTGAAACTTTTGTCTTTTCATGTAATATCTTATAGTGTAATATTCTTGACTGTTCCTATTGGCCTCAACACTATTTGGGCCTTTTTGATTATTATGGACGAAAATACACGACCCGAATTCTTTAAATGGTTTTCACGACACGGGAAAGTAGCATCGATATTTACCGTGTTGTCGGGTGCGGATATTGAGGCGCTGACTGTCCTTTATTCGAGTCTTGCCGGTTTCCCATTCTTCAACGCGCCATTTTCGGAAACGGCAAAAACTAGAATTTTCTGGGCCGCGTGCCTAAACATTTTCACCGAAGACATACCGCAGATGGTCATACAAGTGAGAGGAATCCATGCGATTTTCTCGATAACATTAAAGTAATTTTTACTAAGCATTCTTTTTTTTTTTTTTTTTTTTTGCTTCTCATCAGATATGGTATCTAAAAAGCGTTATCACGTATGACATCATTCCTCTTCTTGCGCTTATCTCCTCGTGTCTCAATTTGACGATAAACATTGTCGGTCGATTGTACCAAGCTATAAATGGATGTCGTCCGCAAATTACAGAAAGTCAAAATAAAGATGATTTTGCAAGTTTTCAGTCACTCCAGACTGCAAGTAGCGCTGCCGCCTTTGACGAAACGGTTCAAGCCATTGAGGTCAGAGAGGAAATAAACGAAGATTCAAGAAACGAAAAACTATCTTCGAATATTGATGTTAATTAATTACATAATCATTTAATATTAATACGTATAACTTAAGTACTGATGCGTATAGTGTAAATTAAGATCATGTCCTAAATCATTGAGAAATTTATAATTGCAGACTTAAGATTGTTTGTAATTAATTGTGAAATGAACTTGGGGTTTTTTCAAAAAATTGGGTTATAACTTTTTTAATTAGCAGCAATGATACTACAGTACTTTTTTTATGCAGTGCTGTCGTCTCCAACTGATCATGGCGCGGCACGAGTTGCGTACTCTCCGCAGTACGAACTTCCTTGACTAGGCTTGGCCAAAAATTTATATATTTTGCGTTATAGGGATGTTACTCAATTTGGTTTGAGATTTATAAACTTCTTTTACTAGTTTGATAAATCTTGTAGTTTGCATGCATCATCATCATCATCAATCAATCAAAAGAAAGCTGAGAGGGTGCATGCGCAAAATTCATAACACACCGCAAACTAGATTGAAACGAAAATATTCCTCCGCAAAAGCTAGTAAATTTTTCTATTGATCTTGGACAGTTTGACGAGATAGCAACGGTCAGTTACCCTGAATCACTGAATCTTTTCTGCGATAACCGTGGTTAATTATTAGAAATAAAAATCCATTACACCCGGTACCTTGCCATTTTTATATTTCTCTTGTAAATGATATTAGAAGGAAATTGAAGATAATTAAGTAGCTCGAAAATAAGAACAGTTGATTCAAGAAATAGGCGTGATTGATAAAAAATTTTTAAAAATTAAATAAATACAGTATACTGTATACCGTATATGCAATATATAATAAAAAGTAATGGTATAAAATATACAATTTACTTTATCATTTTATATTGATTTAATTAACTTTGAAATAATTTTGTGTCAGTTTACTTTTCATTTCAAGGAATTATGCATTTATAGAAATATATTTTTACATGATTTATATGAACTTGGGACTAACATGCTTTATGCATTTTATACTATATTGTGATTTCATTTTTGAATATAATAATAATAATCGTAAATATTTTTTTTCCATTTTGAGATTTTAAATTAAAATTATTAAAATCTGTTATTAATACCATTAAATTGATTTAGTCAAAAGATAAGTTTAGAAATACGATTAAATTTCAAATCAGATAAATTTAAGAAAATTTTCATTATTGAAAAAGTATTACTTTATAACATATTATTATTTTAAATATTTCAAAGAGTTTTGTAAAATAGAAATTATGACATGTCTTTATTTAAATATCAAAAAAACATTTCCAATATTACATAGCCTTTTATATAATAACTTTACTTATTTTCATATATTATTAGTTAAAAAATTACATTATCTAAAAAATATAAAGAATTTACTGAACTAATTTGAATCAAATAAGATAAAATCTAAACTAGGTACCTCTAATTATTTTAATATTTACTATTTTTTAAAATAATTCATAGTAATAAATTATTGATAATGATCCTAGTGATTATAGATTAAATATTAAATTATCAAAAAAACACAATAGCCTTTTTTAAATTTGACTTGAAATACTTGATTAAAACTTAGTTTTGTCAAAAAATTATAATATTTAAAAAATATAAAAAGTTTATTAAGCCAATTTAAATTAAATAAAATCAGGTTTTAACTAGATATTCTAAGTTATATTTAGAAAATAATATTATATTTTTTTAATAATGTGATATTGGATTTTTAATTAGTAAAATTATTGTTAACAATTTATTATTATTAATTATTTTAAAAAATAATAAATTATTAAAGTAATTAAAGAAGAAAAAAAAATCAATTTAATATTATTTTTAAAAGGTTCTTAATCTATTCGAATAACTTTATCTTAAAAGAGATTTGCTTAATTGAAATATTTATTGGTTTTATTATATTAAAAAAATTTAATTATTTCTAAATAAAAAGACTTAAAAAATTTATTTGAAAAACTTATCACTCTAATATATATAAATTTATTTATTACAATATTAATATCAATACTATATTATAAAAGAGCTTACTTGATTAGAATAAAAAATCTCTTTATGAATTTTGTCTAATTGAAATAAAAGTTTAAAGACTTTAGTTTTTATTTAATAAAGTTTTTTACTATCTAAAAAGCTTAATAAGTAATAAAGTTAATTATTTATTTTACTTATTATTTATTTTTTTATATTATAATTGTTTTTTTGAAAAATAAAATCAATTGAAAGAATATATCTTTAAAATTTTTTCTTTCATAATTATTAATAGTATTATTGAAATATATGAATATAATTAGTAAAAGTTTATAAACATCTTAAAATTAATATATTTTATATAGACCAATTACTTTTGATAAATATTATATTATTTAAAAATTCAAAATTAAATTAAAATGAATAAAAATTTTTAAAAAACTATAAAAATATGAGTTTTAAAAGAATCAAAACAATTGATAAAAGAAAAAATAAATCTTTATATTATATATATGTATATATTTTAAATTTGTTTTAAAGATATGATCTCTTTTCACTGATCCTCTGACCACACACAAAAAAAATATTTACAAAAAGGTTTAATACCTCTTGACTAATAAAGTCTTAATCCAACCTAAAGGAAATCCTCAGAAGTCACATATACCCTCTCTCTTTTGTTTATAATCAACTTCAAGCAAATTGAACTCTTGTGATCCATAATAATTCAACTCACACCTTTACTACTGATGACAAAAAAGTTCCTAAAGAGAGAAAAGCCATTAGTATAATATTTGTCACTATTCTCATGAAGTGGAGAAACAAGACAGACAAGATAAAGGTTTCTACCCTAGTCAAAGAACTTATTTTTTCTCTTGACCTGGTTTTTGTGGTCTCTAAGAGCTTCCACTTCATGACTTTCTGAAAAATTTTGCCTATTTCAGCTTGGCCCTGAATTCTAGGGTAACACAAATTTCACTGATTGTGATTGGTTGATATGAAACATGTTGGATCAGATTGATAAACAAGTCCCTATTGGCTACCTTATGTATCTGAATGCATTTCCTCAACTCCATAAAAACCTGGGATTTACTATAAGTTATAGGCTATTGTGTGGGTGGATATAGGACACAGTTATCTTATACATCATAGAAGAAGGGAAAAAGAAAGAAAGGATAAGCTCATAGATGAAAGGACTCATGCACTGATAGAAATAACCTGACATGCTTATAACAAGACAAATTTAGCCTGATACAATATTAAAGGAACATTACAAGCCCCAAGAAAGAAGTACGATATCCTGGACACAGAACTGTACCCTGAACAAAAAACAAGTAGGACCAAGTGATACAACAGGCCCTATAATAAGAAGGATCATAAACTGACGACTTATATCAAGACTCTTAATATGACTCACTCTTTAGCATAACCATCTAGGTCGCTAGTGGCACTCACCAATCTTACTCTTGATAAAAGTACTAGTTGAAAATAACTATCAGATCAGAAAACCTCCTAAAGACTTAGCCTGACTTTGGGAGAATTGCATATTCTTAAATAAGCAGCCTATGCTTGAAGCTGGTATTATCTTTAGAATTAGATCATCAACCCACCATAGTTTTAAGGTCCCTCTTAACCATAAGTTCCATCTGATCTTTATATAAGTAATCCTTTAGGCAGAGTATCAGATAAGATAACATTAACAATGCTGGCATCTGAAACCATACCCCTCTTCAGCTGAAAGAAGAACATCTTTTCCTTTCCCTTTTAAAAATGAAAAGATACAGTACTTCAGTAGATGATTTTATAGGTATTGATTTCTTCTTGGCATTAGTCTCAATGAATGATCAGTAGTAGAAGAAACTTTGGTTTTTATATAACTGTACTTGATAACTTTAGGTTAGTCTTCTCCTCTTTTGGTGAAGCAGCAAAAAGCAATCTGGTAAACTATTCAGTTTTAAGTAGTTTATAAGCTCTTATAATATTTATGATACTTTCAATATAATTTTTAAATTTGTTTTTATAATGCTAATAAATATGTTGAGCTGGCATTTAAAAAAAAATTTTTTTGTTTTATAGATATAAAAATTTTTAGTTACTTTACAATTAATTATTTTTTTAGAAAAAAAATTTTTATTAATAATAAAAATATTATTTAACTTATCAAAAATTAAATTTTTGATTAAAAAATAGATAAATAAGAAAGAAAGTATAATAATAACTTTTGCTGATACTTTTCAAATTGTTTTAAAGATAGATTAAAATTTTATTAATTAAGAAGTTCAATAACTCTTAATAAATAAATTTCTTTTTTTATATATATTGAAAAGATCAATAAAAAGAAAGAGTTTTTTATAAATAAATTATAAATTATATAAAAATATTAATAAATAATCATAAAAAAAATTGGTTATAGAACTTTTTTTGGAATTTAAAAGTATAAATTAGTATTATTTCGATTAAAAATATGGAAAATCCATATTAAATTCATTTAAATTTACTGTAAAGCAGTTTGCTTTTTTTTTTTTTTTTAACCTGTGGTCAAATTAGCATTATATATTTATTAATTATATAAAAACTGATAGAGATATATAGAACAATTGTATTATAGTTAAACTAAAAAACTTGTATAGACACATTTATCAATATTTTTCAATTTTCAAAAAAGCTTCAACCTCTAAGTACAACCTTGGAGACAATATTTTATTTTGTGATAAATTTTGAATAAATACTCTCTTAATTTATTTATCATTGCTAGCAAATTGTCACTACTTATTATCCTTCAAGAAACTAAATTCGTGAAACTACAAAAGAGAAAAGGAAAAATAAAAGAAAAAGAGAATATTTAAAACTATGTAAATATACTATATGAAAAGGAAAAATAAAAAATAAAAATAAAATACTTCATGTCTTTTAAAGGACCTCTGCTAAAAACTTTTTTTCATTAGGAGTCAATTCTTCTGGAATATCCTTCTTCTTTCTGATTATCTGAGAAACTTGTTCATCTATGTCTTGATTATTTTCTTGTAACCATCTAAAATACTTATCACTTACTCAAATTAAGTATCTTACTCAATACTTTCTTTCTTTCAGTCTTGATTTTGTATCCACCTGCACAGAAGAAGATAACTAATAGTGGACTTCAAGTTCTTATGTGACTTTTTAGTCTTGTTGAGTAACTCCTGATATCTTTCAGCAATCACACCTAATTAAAGAAATTTTATTAGTGTTTATCTTAATTGTGATATTATTACGCAATATTTGAAAAAATGTATTCTCAATCCTAAAGAAAGGTAGTATTTTATATTCTTTTATTTTTCAATCTTATAGCCTGACTAAAATAAGAAAATAACCTTCTTCATATACTTTGTCTAACTAGAATAATAAGAAGTTGAAGGTCTCAGCTTGAAAAAATAACCACCTTTTCATTACCTAGGGAATTTAGTGTCTATTCTAATGGTTTTATGATTTCCTTGCTTTAGTTAAACTTCATTTGGAGGAGTGAATGAGTTTGCATCCTTGATTTCTTTTTCAATTATCAATGTTGTCATCGAAATATGGGGATATAGCTAGTAGAACCTTGTTTACATTTTGTTATCAATGTGTTTTGTATTAACCAATTAGAAATCAAGTAATATTGTATTATCAAAAATTCAGGTCAAGTTGGAGTAAGCAAAATTTTTACAAAAAAATTGTGAAAAACTATAAGTACTTTAAGAGAACAAGAGACAGGTATGTGAAAAAATAGATAATAAACCTTTCCTTGTCTAGAAAACCTCTATTTCCATGTCATGTTCAGCTTTGGGAGGTGACATTTCACTAGTTGATCCTTTTATTTCCTAGAATCTTCTTGCCTTTAGTAGAGGAAATATGTGCTTGAGTCTATTTAGGTCATCAGAGGCTCAAGTTTTTGCTTAAAGAAGTTTGTAAACAAGTGCAGGAAGGTAATAGTGACTCTTAAAAACAAGTTTCAGATTGTTTTAAAGAAAGTGAGAAGATTATATTAGTCAAGAAATATAAAAATTTCTTGTAAATGTCTTTTTTGTATATAGTCAGAGGATTAGTAGAAAGAGTTAAAACTGTAAAGCAGTTTACTTTATATATACTATATATATTTTAAAGAGTAAAACTTTAAAAAGAGTTGACATTTTATTTTGTAATTTATTTTTTATAATAATAGATTTAAAAATATTTTTGATATTTTTTTTTTCATTGTTGTTTGGATATTAGAGAAATTTGTTATTATTTTAATTGACTTTTTTTTTTCAAGAAAATTATTAAATAAGAAAATTTTTTAGAAAAATGAGAACTAGTAAAAATATATGATATATGTACTATAAATTCTTAATAATTAAAATTAAACTTATTATTTTTTAGATTACACTTAAACTTTAAAAGAATTGATTTTAAAAAAATTTTTTTTTCATTTTTATTTTCATTTTTTATACTTACGTATTTTGAATTTCTCTCTCTCTTCTTTTTTTTTTTTCCTTTTTCTTTATGCAATTTTAGTTTAATAATTCAATATTTAATTAATGATCAGTTTTAGAATTCGATAATTAATAAATGATAAGTTTAATAACTAACTGATATTAATTTATAACTTATAGCCATAATACGAGTTATGAAAAGTTTTCTAAATCAAACTTGAATAATTGGTTATTTACTATCGTGAAAATTATGTATATATTGATCAAACCATTAATAAAGATACTGTATACTATAATAATAGTCTGATTGTAAATTAGAAAAAAAAAAGATATCTTGAAAATCTAATATAATTTTAAAAATTCGACAAGCCAATATGATTTTGATAATGAAAACCAGATGCACGTTAGATATGACACATTAATCGACTCAATGGCGGAATAATTGGTTGTTGGTCGACCCGCGGGTGAACACGGGACAAAATTTGTTAACGCGCGCAAACATATGCTTACGTCGGAGTCACGTGATCACCGACACCGTTGTTTTTTTAAGTGTTTCAAATCTCGGCAAATCGATAAACGATCTTAATTGGAATCCTTAAATGTAATCGTGGCATAAAAATGCAATCGTAATAACCCTTGTTACATCAATACAATAAAAAAGACGTGTGTAATATTGGATCGGTAGGCCGTGCATGCTAATAATTATTACGTGTTACCAATAACAATTGGTTGTATGTAATAAAGATAATATATTGATTTTGAACACGGAAACGTTCGTACGCAGTGACACAACCCACTTTTTCAAAAAAAAGAGACGGAATGTAAATATACAAGCACAAGGGCTATTGTGGCATTTTATCACGGATGTATACATCAATGGACGTGCATACAGAATTACTAATTGTCCCAGGGGGCAATTCTGTCGTTACATTAAAAAATTAGCCGACATGTATAAGAAATTGTTTCGGCAATTTCATGCTTATCATTGCTTTATTGCGGGACCACGTAGTACAAGAAGACTTCTTTCTATCAATAATTTAAGTCATAGTGATCGACAAAAAAGTGAAACTAAATAAATCCTCTGAAACAATCTTGTTTTTATTTGTTCTAGGGATAGTAACGGAAGAATTGTCTGTATCTTCCCGAGAGTTTATTAAAAAAAAATTAATAACGAAATGAATTGTACTCCATCCTGTCCTACTCCCAAACGATAATTAAATGCCACCAATATTTGCCAAAGCGTATGGTCCACCATTCTGATTAATTCGCATGCTCGAGCCGGTGTCGCGCTTATAGTATTTGTGATATGTTGCTGTCGTTGTTGGATAGCAAGAAGTTGTTGTCGTTTTATTGCTGCAAAAAGCGTTGAGGATGCCATCTTTGTCGCAGTTAAGGTTGAGTTTATCATCCTTCGCCGTAAATTGTGTGGTACCGTCGTTATTGATTTTAGCATGTAAGACGTTCGTCAAGTCATCGAGAACATTGCCGCAACGGTCGACGATAAAGAAAGTGTAATTATTCTTACAAGGATCCACCAGACCCGTCAAAAAGCCGGTGATGGTAGTTATTCCACATTCGTTTTGACTGAAAACTGTGATGCCTTTGACCTTATCTGAAAATGCTGCTTCGGCGAGAGCGCACGGACATTTTGATGATTCGCCTTTATTTCTTTTATCCAAGAGGTCGTAACTTCGTTTTTTATGAGAACAACATGAGTTAGCTTCAACCGAGACTAGGGCGGAGAAGAGAATCAAGGCTAAGATAAAGGGTACAAATTTGCGACTCATTTTAACTTATTAATATTATTAAAGGTTTGTGGACTAATACTAGTGATCGTAATTTGTCTTCTAACCTTGGAAAATTTTTTTGGTGAGGAGAATATCGCCTCCTTTTATATAAAAAAAAAACGAATGCGCTTTATAAATACTCTTGCATATATTAAAGTATACCTATAAAAAATATTTTTAAATGGTTATTTTTAAACATCCCCCCCCTAGTTCTTTTTAACAGATACATGTTAAATTATTAGTCATCCCTTAAATGGAAGTCTAAAAATGTAAAAAATAAAATAAAATAAAATAAAATAAAATAATAATAATAATAATTTTTTTTGCTGGACTTTTTCCGCGCAACAAAGAATAACAATCGAAATCTATAAATTATATATACACTAAACAAAAGCCGGCTTTTCATTGATATGTGTGCTGTCACACGTAGCGTTTACAATGAATTTTCTAAATCTGGGTTTCTCAAGGGCTTCAACTTGCGAAGAGAGTGATCGTATGCAGTATATTGTGGGTGTACAGTGTTGTGTACGGTATACTGTACGTTGCAATTCTTGGTGTGTAATCCGAGTGTAGAAATCGCGTGAAGGTGCTATTGATGTCACTGAGCTTTGCATGATGATAGGCTTTTTTTTTTTTTTTTTTTTAGAAAAAAACATATTCGTGATCATGCGGATGGTAAAATTATCGTCATCCGGGGAAAAAAACTATTTCTATTTTCTTTGGATGTTCATTTGTATAGCCACACAAGTTAATTATTAAGCCTGAAGAAGGCTATGCTATCGTTTATTCCAGTTGATCGATCAATTCATAATCTTAATTTAAGAATATATATATACAACAAGGACTACCAAATCGAGAAAATGTTTAAAAGACAATACTCTTTACTAAACATGATCTGCGTTTATCAACAGGTTGTACGGTATATGGATGAGAGTTTCTTTGCGACTAAGAATAAAGATTAATCAAATCCTTTTCGCTTAGTTGACTCCTTTGTTCAAAAACTTGTGATTTCACATCGCCAAGTATGGTACGAGTATTTTCTAGACGAGCGTTATTTCTTTGGTATAAACAGTATAAGGCGTAAATTCGAAGTATAAATCATGTGACCTCTACCATGACATTTGCCATTCACTTTTTTTTCCTACACACGAAAATTTATTTACATAAATATTTATAGTAAAATGCTAATAAACATATTACAGTATGCTCTTTCATTGAGATCGGCGCCACAACTGCATCCCGCGTAGCATAACTATTATTTATAGCAACGAATACCAAAACCGTAAAGAACATCATATATCCTTGTACCTCCGAGATCCTTTCTACAATCGTACCATAATATAACTTGTGTAAACATAGCTAAAGCCAGATTTGGGCTTTGCCCGATACAGCTTAGTGTCGGGTTTTTTTTAGTCCAGACCCGACCCAGTGTTACCCAATTTGGGGGGTTTATTTTGAACCGTTGGCATTGGCCTAAAAGTTGCACCGGGTGGTGATACTTTCGTTATCGCCATCAATATCAATTCTATGCTGCATACACGTCTCATTTAATGCATGCTTAATTAAAAAAAAAAAAGAGACAAAGTTGTACGGGCACAGTACACAACGTTTGTATGTCTCAATGGACTCGGAAATCCGAATAAAGAGGTTGTAGATTCAGATGATAAATGAATTTTTGTTTGTGCAGCGTTGATAGAAGCAGGCAAAAAATGCAAATATGCGGTGCATAGTGTGTCTAAAAAAAGAAGAAAGATGGATTTTTACCAAATTGCGATTGCATATTTAATTACCAAAGCGATTATAAAAACTTTTCCGAGGGGAATAATTATGATATAATAATTTTAGTCATTATATGAATCTAGCTGTTTTCCTTTTACCAAAATTGGTTGTATCAAAATAATTACCAAAATTATTTCAACCTATTTCATCGTAAGAAACGCTGTATACTTTATTCAAATTATGATTTTAGTAAACATGAAATTACTAGTGTTATCGTAAAATAAATTTTTCGAGCTATCCTAAAAAACTCAAACTTTGATATTTTAGTTTATTGCTTTGTATTTTATTTTTAATATAAAAAAAATATTGCATAACTTTATTTAAGAGGCAATAAAGAAGAACAATAAATTAAGTGTCACTTGAAAAACTTATCAATCCACATTAATACGATCAACTAGCCCTAAATTTATATCTATAGTATATTTAACTTTACATACTAATTGTAATCATTAAATTGATGTTTATATATATATATATATACGGTAGCTCACAAAAGTCTTGCACCACCTATCAATTTTTATATAAAAATAAAAAATTTTAAAATAATTAAAATTAAAATTTTTGGTAATAAATATTAATTTATAAAATAAACAAAATTTTAAATTATATATTATACATGTAAATTTATTTATTTTATAATACTTTTTTTTTTTTTTTATACACACAACGTTGTCCATTTTATTGATTATATGCATTACACAATTTTCATTTACAAAGCTATTTTATAAACTATAACTATGCCTAGCGAAA